CAAATTCATGGCGTGAATGGCAGCTTCCCTCCAGCCTGGTGGCCAGCACAAACTTGTAGGTTCCTGCTGCTGTCTAGGCATCATCCTTTACCACCTCCATTGTACATTTTCCGATGATCTCTCAACACTTCCCCTATGGGTACATCCTGGATTCTTATCAGGAATGAGGCAACGAGCCGTCATAACATGGGTATTTGGCAGCCTGAGGTTACCAGCTGTACAAGAGACAGCAATGGCAGTGCAAGAATCACTTGCTACAGGGTAAACATTAGTGCTGAGGATGACTCTCCAACCGTTTGCATCAGACCTGAAAGGAATATCCTCCTCGAGTCTTCGGTGCCTTTCCCACACACCATCCTCCTGTTATTTTGTCGAACAGGACAGCATTTAGTGGCGGGCTGTGGTCACTGGGGCCAAATGCCTTCGTCTTCACCCACAGGGAGATGTCTTTCCTTCAAGTTGTTTTATCCTCTCTCTGTTTATTGGCAGAACCCCCACCGGAAATTCCTGCAACTGAGAGGATGCACAGCTAAAGACACTTTTTCCCCTTATTTTGTTAACAAACTTTCTTACAACGTCATCGGTGTTTTGCTTTCCGTCTCCGATCATCTTGGTCTCCTGCAGTGTTCTTGCTTCCATGGGAGATCATCAGGGCCCCCTTCTGCCACGGTGTGTGAACTATAACCATTGCACCACATTTTCTTTGTACTTAGTCTTTTATTGTGTGTCCTCTGACAGAATAGATGTGGTATTTGTACTTGGTATTTGAAGAGCTAAGAGGCAGGGGGCGGTCTGAAGTGTACTTAGTTGTAGAGACAGATCATCTCCGAATCATTTCTTTGGTGGCACTTGGGTGGGTTCAAACAGGTTAGCTGGCGACCACCTGACAATTTTCTGGTAAGTTTTACAGCATATGTCTGCATTTTTCCATCGGCATACCATTCCACTGATATTGCGCCATTCATCGTGGACATCATCTACTATTGGAGCAGCGTTTGTGTACTAAATTTTTCCGGGTTGAGGTAGACTCACTGCTGTCATTTTTGGGATATCGAACGGGTTTGGTCCTACGATATCCACCGTGGCCTCCTGTGTCGTGCTCCACTGCTGTGGGTTCCGACAATTGTTTCCCTTTCTGCAAGCCGCACAACGGGTCCGGTTTGACTGCTCGCCCCGCAATCTGGCCCCGTGCAATTTTGGTTCTGGCAAAGCTAACAGACGCAACAATGTCTGTTGCGGCATAGTGTTCCGCACTATGGGCGACAGTTACATCCGCCTCCGACATCTGCTTTAGTCCGCTGGAAGAAAAACTGGTTCTTATAAGGGAAGGGGCCGGAAGGTGACAGGCTGGACTGCTGTGTGTCCCGGAAGTAGTGGGGAGTTCTGAGAGGAAGTTTTCCGCCTCGGGAAGAAGTCTATTTAGGAGGACTTGGGCGATAATCTTGCCAACTACCGGACATGGCGAGATCCGCTGGTACCACAGTCCGGCCGGCGCACTCCCTTGTTCTTATAAATATTGCCGATGGAAGCGTCTTTAGAAGCAGGGGATTTCACTCCTTCCTATATACTTCAGGAGAGTGGAGACGGCTGGTGGCAGAGGGTCCTCCTGCTTTACTATCTCGGCTGGGATTCCATCAGGCCCTGAGGCTTTGTTATTTTTCATCTGTTTACGATGGCAGTAGCTACCTCATTCAGGGATGGAAGGATAGCTGAGGTGGGTCAGCTCTGGATGCTGAGGACCTGCTGGGTAGTCAAATTTTATCCACATCAAGTGTTTAAAACCAGAGCGGTGAATGGTAGTGCTCTTTCAGCACGGAAGGAGGCCTTCGTCGTCTTTAATTATGGGTTGCCGTCAGATGGCCGGAGGCTGCGCCACGGTGGCCTGTCCCAGAAAAAGGTTTTCGTGGAATTGAAAAATTTACATCTTGCTGATCTGCAAATTTTTTGTATTTGCAATGCTATTTTTAAACCAATTATTTCTTTGGGTTACGAAAGTTCCCGCTGGGCCACCGCTTTCTTCTTCTATGGAAAATTATCAGCTTTGGTCCAAGACAGGAAGTTATTTCTTGCCAGTCCAGTTAAAGCAACTGTTTGCTCATTAGTGTGATACATTGATTGTCAGATGTTTTCATCAAACCAGTCCTGGTATCATTCCTTCAATCTGGCTGCTGGGGGTCCTCTCTGCAGCGAATTTTGTATGACGTGATGTCAGGAATCCTCCCATTCGGGGCTTCTGGGATTTGGTTGTTTACTGTTGGGGTGTTTATCTTCGGCTTCATGTTCGGCGCTACTTCCCTCTAAGAAAGCATGTGTACTGTCGCTGGATCCTCCCAGACTATTAGTGTGCTTACCTCCTCTGGAGGCTTGCTGCCCAACCCTACTCCGGTTTTGGGCGACGTGGTGAGGCCAGCTCTGCAGGCAGGCCGATGATTAAAATGTCCTGCAGTGGTCTGAGCCGCATGGCAGGTATGATGAAACATCTCAGTGATCTCTTTCTTTCCCAACCAGTGTAGTCAATGAGATGCCAGTGTTTGCAGATCATGGGGTAGTGCCACGAACCCGCCCAGACGTAAACCTGCTTAAAGGGTGTTGATAGTGAGGTGTAGTAGGCCATTGGGATTGCACTTGCCTGGAGTCATTTTTTCTCTATGGTTTCACCAAATGCTTAGCATCTCTTTTAACTCTGGCATTAAGTCACCAAGAACCTGTATCTTCCCTGGGAATAGAGGTTAGCACTCTAATGTCGAAGAGATCATCAAAAACTCCTTGATATCGTCTGTACATCAGTGTTGGGGCTATACACTGATGAAAAAAGCATGACGTGAGAGATTCCAATTGGGACTCCTAAATGTCAAGAGCATTTTTTGGATCCCCAATAGGCATTTCAGTTAGCCTGTGCAGGATGCGTTGGCGGATAAGAGCCAACTCCATAAATGCGGCTACTCTTCGCCTTGAGCTTACCCTTCCAGAAGAGAGGTATGGCCGGGCCTGTCTGTGGAGTTGACCCTCGTCCTGCAGGAGCTGGGACTCAATAATAGCTGCTATGTCGATATTTATGCCTAGCCAGCTCTAATGCCACAAAAGGGCAGTTCAATATTCTTTCAGAACCATTTGTGCAGTGTCCAGAGGTTCTGACATTCACATAGTGATTTATAAGAAGTTGTATAGTTTTTTCATTTTGATCTACATGATTTTGATTGATTTTTTTGACTGCATAAGGATGACCTTGTTGGCTGCGGTTGTCCAGTCGGTTGGGTTTTTATAATTTTAGGGCACTTTCTATTACCTCTATGAGGTGGTAAGTGGCTCCTCAGAAAGGGTTGCTCAGTCGTACGAACAGGACCAGATTGCACTACTGCGTAGATCCCAATTATAAACGACCATATTATCTGTGCTGCCTAGGTGCAGGGGTTGTGACTAAGACTCTTGGCAGTCATCTCTGCTGTCTTACGTCCTTCCACTCGTCCGTCGCCATAGGACTTTTAGGGTTATAGGGGTTTTGGAGATGATGGAATGGTATGATAGGCTGGATGATGGCTGCACGTGAGTTGATTTATGTGGTGCGTGCTGCAACCACCATCTTGGTTTTCCTTTTCCTGATCCAGTGAATTTTAAATTGCAACGACATGGGAGAGAAGTTCCAATGGATATCGACTGCCCAGATTGTTGGGTTTCGCCTTAGTAGCCTGTCTTCGTCTGCTGAATTATTAGTCGTTGGGTTTCCGCAGTGGTCACCTTTCCGCCTATACTGGGTGGGGTCTTGCTGGAGCTCTGTAAGCATAGCTCTGCCTGATACAGCTCCCTGTAGATTTTTCGTTCAGTGTGTTTACCATGTACTCCTCCAAGGTTGTCCACCAGGCGTGGGCAATGGTTTGTGGGCGCCAGGGTATGTCCCACATGTCAGTGGGCTATCGCAGCCCTCTGGGGGCTCCTGCCATCGAGATCCCTTTGGTGGCCTGGGCACAGGCACACCTAAAGATTTACAGTGTGTTGCCACGAGGAGGCTGGCAAGGTTTGATGGTGAAAGGGTTGTGTACTGGGGAAGAGACGTGCAGGATTGATTCCTATTCATGAGGCTGGCCAGCAGCGGCGGCTGAAAGCGAGAGGAGCAAGCTTAGTGCTTGTGCCTTAACACTGACAGTGATGCTGCTGATAGACGCATTTCCACCACCTGTGCGGGAACACACACACACTGTTTACCTCACTTTGGTATAAAATACGGTATATGCTATGACGTCAATTCAGTGTGTGAAACAGTTTTGGGAGTAAAAATATTTTACTAGTACTTGCTAGGAGAACAAACACTTGCTTTATGGACATTTATATCAGTACATGCTAGGAGGCCAAAAGATGTGTTATGTGTGTGAAACACCAATATCCTGAATATTAGTGATATACAGGAAAACTTGGTCCTCTGGCATACTAGCCTCACAAAACTCGCCCGGTGCTCAGTAGAGAACAATTCTGTAGAATAAACCCAGACCAGCTGGAGAGCTGCTGTGATGGCCAATTTACCGTTCAGGGACAGAATGTCTTGACACCCATCAATACTGAAATATGTGAAAATGAGACTTAGTGCTAAAAACAGCAGGTAGAGAGTGCTATCTTTTATTAGTCACTCAAAAAACAAACAAAAAACTTTCAAGCACATGTTTATGCCTAAAGCAGTTAATTATCATGTATATTATTACTTTGCTGGTTAAGTTATAGTTACATGTACTGTTGTTAGGAAGAATTGAAGTCTTACATTATATACAGTAAGCATGCCTTGTACTGGCACACAGTGAAACAAGTCTCTCCAACTCATAAATGACAGATCTATACTCCGGTATCTTGAATAACTATAGGTAAATATAGGTAAATTTAAATAAATACAAAAGTATCTAAATTCTCTGATGGAATACATGGTTAATAAATGATGAAAGGATATTCCATATCTGCTGAGCGGTACACGACAAGTGTTAGATGTAAAACAATTACACGGCGGGTGTTGGACAAAGACGTACACAGCAGGTATTGAAGACGAACAGTACAGCGAAGTGTTGGACAAGACAGTACGACAGGTGTTGGGATAGACATTACTGACGGGTGTTGGATGGGCATTACACATTAAGATTGTTGGACAAGACGGAAATTACTACGACGAGTGTTGAATAAGACAGTACGACAGGTGTTTAGACGAACAGTACTGACGGTGTTGGACAAGACAGTACACGACGGGTGTTGAACCAGAGACGGTACACGACGGGTGTTAGATAAAGACGGTACACGGCGGGTGTTGGACAGACCAGTACGACAGGTGTTAGACAAGACAATGCGACAGGTGCGGATAGACAGTACTGACGGGTGTTGGATAAGACAGTACCGACAAGTGTTGGATGGACAATTACGACGGGTGTTGGATAAAACAGTACGACGGGTGTTAAGGATGGGCGGTACACGATGGTGTTGGATAAGACAGTACGACGAGTGTTGGACAAAACAGTACGAGCTGAGTGTTGGATAAGACAGTACACGACGGGTGGATAAGACGGTACGACGAATTGGATAAGACAGTTCGGCAGATTGTTGGATAAGACAGTACACGACGGGTGTTGGATAAGACAATTACACGACAGGTGTTGGACAAGACAATTTTGACGAGTGTTGGATAAAGACAATTACCGACGGGTGTTGAATGAACAGTACCGACGAGTGTTGGACAGTCAAATTACGGCGGTGTTGGATAAGACGGTACACGGCGAGTGTTGGACAAGACAGTACGACGGATGTTGGATAAGACGGTACCACGACGGGTGTTGGACAAGACAGTACGGTAGATTGGGCTTGGATAAGACAATGCACGGCAGTGTTGAATAGACAATTACCGACGAGTGTTGGACATGAACAGGCACACGACAGGTGTTTAAGATAAGACAGTACTGACGAATTGTTGGATAGACAGTGATTGTTGACGTTGATGAATCAGTACACGACGGTGTTGGATAAGACAATTACGACGGGTGTTGGATAAGACAGTCCTGACGGGTGTTGGATAAGACAGTACGACAGTGTTGGACAAGACAATTGCGACGGGTGTTGGATAAGACAATTACGACAGGTGTTGGATAAGACAATGCGACAGGTGTTGGATAAGACAATTACATTGGTGTTGGACAAGACGGTACACGACGAGGTGTTGGATAAGACAGTACACGACCGAGTGTTGGATAAGACAGTACTACGGCGGGTGTTGGACAAGACGGTACACAGCGGGTGTTGAATAAAACGTGTGGTACCTGACGGGGTTTTGAACAAGACGGTACCGCGGCGGGTGTTGGACAAAACAGTACCACACACGACGAAGTGTTGGACAAAGACAGTACACGGCAGGTGTTGAGACCGGAACAATTACATGACGGGTGTTGGACAGACGTTACCACGATGGGTTGTTGAGACTAAAGACAATTACCACGGCCAGTGTTGGATAAGACAATTACCACGACCGGGTTTGGATAAGACAGTCCACGACGGGTGTTGGACAAGACAGTACGACGGGTGTTGGAGAACAATTTTGACGGGTCGTTGGATAAGACAGTACGGCGGGTGTTGGACAAGACAATTACGACGGGTGTTGGACCAAGAAGACAATTTTACGATGAGTGTTGGACAAGACAGTGACACAGGTGTTGGAAGAAGACAGTACACGGCAAGGTGTTGGATGGGCAGCGCGACGAGTGTTGGACGAACAGTACGACGAGTGTTGGATAAGACAATTACGACGGGTCATTTGGATAGACAGTACGGCCAGGTGTTGGATGGACAGTACGACGGGTGTTGGACAGACAATACACGACGGGTGTTAGTTAAGACGGTACCGCGCGAGGTGTTGGACAAAGACAGTACGTCGAGTGTTACAGATGATAAGACAGCACCACGGCGATTGTTGAGACAAAGACAATTTCTGACGAAGGTGTTGGATAAGACGGTACTGCGGCGGTGTTTGGACAGAGACATTTTGCAGCCAGTGTTGGATAAAACAGTACGGCAGGTGTTGGATAAGACATTACCGCCGAGATTAATTTGGAAAGAGCAGTACGGCGGGTGTTGGATAGAAGAACCAGTACGGCGAGTGTTGAGACAAAAGCCTGCGACGAGTGTTTGGACAGAAGATGACAGTGTTGGATAAGACAGTACGACGGGTGTTGGACAAGAGACATTTTGACAGGTGTTGGATAGACATTTTTGACAGATTATTGTGGTCTAGACAATTACCGTGATTTAGTGGATATGACAGTGGATCTCTGACAGTACGAAGCCAGTTGGTGGATAAGACATTACCGACGAATTGTTGGATAAGACAGTACCGACGAATTTGTTGGATAAGACGAAGTTACCGACAGGTGTTGGACAAGACGTGCGACGGTGTTGGATGAACAATGGTGTTGGATAAGACAGTACGGCGAGTGTTGGACAAGAAGACATATTACCACGGCAGATATTGGATAGACAGTACGCAGTGTTGGACACGACAGTACACGACGGATGTTGGATAAGACGGTACGACGGGTGTTGGACTAGGGCAATGCGACGGGTGTTGGATAGGGCCGTACGCGACAGGTGTTCCAGCGGATAGACAATACCGCAACCAGTGTTTGGTTAAACAATTACAATGGATAAGAACTTCAGTACACGACGGGTGTTGGATAAGACAGTACACGACGGGTTGTTGGATAGACAGTACGACTTGGGTGTTGAATGGAACAATTTTGGTGTTGGATAAGACAATTACGACGAATTGTTGGATAAGACAATTACGACGAGTGTTGGACAAGGAACAGTACGACGGGTGTTGGATAGACAATTACACGACGGGTGTTGGATGAACATTTTTGCGACAGGTGTTGGATAAGACCATTTTACGACGGGGTGTTGGACAAGACATTTTTCTGACGAGTGTTGGATGCGAACAATTACGACAAGTGTTGGATGAACAATACCGGCGGGTGTTGGACAAGACGACGGGTGTTGGATAAGACAACTGACGGGTTTTGGTGTTTGGACAAACCAGTGCACGACGAGGTGTTGGACAAGACAGTACACGACGGGTGTTGGATAAGACAGTACCGACGGGTGTTGGACCGAACCAATACCGATGGGTGTTGGACAAGACATTTTAACGGTGTTGGATAAGGACAGTACACGACAGGTGTTGGATAAGACGGTCGACAGGTGTTGGACAAGACAGTACGACGGGTGATGGATAAGACAGTACACGGCGGGTGTTGGATAGACAGTACGACGGTGTTGGACAAGACAATTACACGACGGGTGTTGGACAAGACGGTACCGTGTTGAGACAAGATTGGTACATGACGGTGTTGGATAAGACTGTTTCTGACCGGGTGTTGGATAGACAATTACGACAGTGTTGGATAAGACAGTACACGACGGGTGTTGGGACGAAGATAATTGCGACGGGTGTTGGATAAGACAGTACGACGGGTGTTGGATGGACAGTACACGACGGGTGTTGGATGAACCAGTACGACTGGGTGTTGGATGAGAAGACAATTACACAGCGGGTGTTGGATAGACAATGCGACAGGTGTTAGATGAACCAATGATACACACAACAGATTGTTGGATAGAACATTGCCGACGGTGTTGGACAAGACAATTACCGACAGTGTTGGATGAACAATTTTACGGCGGGTGTTGGGATAAAGACAGTACGACAGATTGTTGGATAAGACAACAGTCCTGACGGTGTTGGACAAGACATTTTTGCGACGAATTGTTGGATAGACCAGTACTGACCAGGTGTTGGATAGACAGTACGACAGGTGTTGAACAGAACGAAAGTACACGACGGGTGTTGGACAAGAGACAGTACGACGAAGGTGTTGGACAAAGACATTGCGGCAGGTGTTAGATGAACCCAGTACGACGGGTGTTGGATAAGACAGTACGACGGGTGTTGGATAGACAGTACACGACGGGTGTTGGACAGGAACAATGCAGGTGTTGGATAAGACAGTACCTGACGAATTGTTGGATAAGACAGTACGACGGGTGTTAGATAAGACAGTACACGACAGGTGTTGGATAAGACAGTACGGCGGGTGTTGGATAAGACAATTTTGGCGGGTGTTGGAATAAGAACAGTACCTGACGGGTGTTGGACAAGACGGTACGACAGAGTGTTGGATGGAACAATTTTTGACGGGTGTTAGATGAACATTACGTCGGGTGTTGGATAAGACAGTACGACGGGTGTTAGCGGATAAGACAGTACGACGGTTGGATAAGACGGTACACAGCGGGTGTTGGACAAGATATTTTACGACAGGTGTTGGATAAGACGGTACGATGGGTGTTGGATAAGACAGTTCACGACAGGTGTTGGATAAGACGGTACGTGGATGTTGGACCAGGCAGTACTCGACGGGTGTTGAATGAATCAGTACCTGACGAATTGGATAAGACAGTACGACGGGTGTTAGGTTAGAACCCGGTACGACGGGTGTTGGACAAGACGGTACACGACGGGTGTTGGTTAGACAATCCTGACGGGTGTTGGATAAGACAGTACGACGGGTGTTGGATAAGACAGAACACGACGGGTGTTGGATAAGACAATTACATTGGGTGTTGGATCGCAGACAATTTGCGACGAATTGTTGGATAAGACAGTACACGACCGTTGTGGATAGACAATTACGTGGGTGTTAGGGCCAGGAACATTTTGACGGAGTGTTAGGACAGGGCAATTACCACGACGGGTGTTGGATAAGACAAATTGCGACGGGTGTTGGATAAGACAATTACACGACGGGTGTTGGACGGGACGGTTTACGACGGGTGTTGGATGCAGACGGTACGACGGGTGTTGGATGAACAGTACGACAGGTGTTGGATAAGACAATTTGACGAATTGTTGGACAAGACAATTTTTGACAGGTGTTGGTTAAGACAGTACACGGCGGGTGTTGGATAAGACAGTACCACGACGGGTGTTGGATAAGACAGTACGGCGGGTGGATAAGACAGTACGACGGGTGTTGGATAGACAATGAGAGCACGACGGGTGTTGGATAAGACAATACACGACGGTGGATGAACAATGCGACGGGTGTTGAATAAGAAGGCACACGACGGGTGTTGGACAAAGACAATGCTGACGGTATTGGACTAAGACAGTACCACGACGGTGGTGGACAAGTTGCGACGGGTGTTGGGTAGTAATTACGACAGATTGTTGGACAAGACAGTACAACGGGTGTTGGACAAGACAATTACTACGACGGAGTGTTGGACAAGACAATTACGACGGAGTGTTGAGGACCGGGCCAATTTACGACGGGTGTTTAGATAGGAGCAATTACGACAGGTGTTGGATAATTAGTACGACAGGTGTTAAGGCAAGACAATTACCCGGCAGGGTGTTGGATAGACAGTACACGACGGGTGTTGGATAAGATACGACAGGTGTTGGACAAGACATTGATGGGTGTTGGATAAGACAGTACAGAACGGGTGTTGGATAAGACGGTACGACCGGGTGTTGGATAGACAGTACACGACGGGTGTTGGACGAACAGTACACGACGGGTGTTGGATAAGACAGTGCGACAGGTGTTGGATAAGACAGTACACGGCGGGTGTTGGATAAGGCGGTACTGACGGGTGTTAACAGATAATTCATTTTACGACGGGTGTTGGACCGGTACGACGGGTGTTGGATAAGACGATGCGACGGGTGTTGGATAAGACAATTACGACGTTGGCTGGATAAGACGACGGGTGTTGGATAAGACCAGTACGACGGAGTGTTGGACCAAGACAATTACCTGACGATTCGTTGCAGTTGAGAGACATTGCGACAGGTGTTGAAGACCAAGACAGTACACGACGGGTGTTGGACAAGACAGTACACGACGGGTGTTGGACAAGACAGTACACGACGGGTGTTGGACAAGACAGTACACGACGGGTGTTGGACAAGACAGTACACGACGGGTGTTGGATAAGACAGTACACGACGGGTGTTGGATAAGCGAATTGTAATTGGAAAATTTCTTCTTATGTGGCGAGTAATGTTTTTTTCTTCAGTGTTTCTAAGATAAAGCATTTGACACGATTATTATCCACTTTGGGTGACTGGAAGGAGACGGGCAGAGAGTAACCATACTGTGTGTAACTGCAAAACTACAGGAAGATCTAAAAAAATTTTTCGAATGGTCTGAAAAATGGTAGATGAGATTCAATGTGGACAAATGTAAAGTACTAATCCTGGGCATTAGGAACCTTGAGTACAGAGACAGGTTAAAGTTTCTTAATTTGCACTCCCTCGAGAGACGTAGAGTGAGGGGAGATATGATCGAGGTGTATAAATGGAAGTCAGGGCTGAACAAAGCGGACATTACAAAGGCACTAAAATTATCCAACAGGAGCGAACCCGTAACAATGGTTTTAAATTAGACAAATTAAGATTTAGGCGCAAAATAGGCAAACATTGGTTTGGAAATAGACTAGTGGATGAGTGGAACAAGTTACCAAATATCTTCATTAACTCGAATACGCTGGATAGCTTCAAACATAGGTTGGATGGATATTGAGCAATAGGGGTTGGGTGTAAATGGGACTGCCCAGTATGGGCCAATAGGCCCGCTGCAGTTTCCTCCATTCCTATGTTCTTATGTGTAGAGTATCTTCAGGTAATGAGGTAAGAGTACCTCTGTTAACCAGCATACAGCATGTGATAAACCAGCACCTCCCATTCTCAGTCCATGCTTAACCTAATAACATATGCTAACCTAAATGTGTCTGAGTTTGGATACTAGATGACAAGGCGTAGCATGAAGACTTTCTTAATGGTAACAAGCTAGAGTAAACTGAACCATATCAGTTCTCTAGTGATATAAGGTTGGGCTGACAGTAACTGGGATGATATGAGCAAAGGAATCAGCAGGTACTTGTACTTTCTAGGTAAGAAAGTAAAAAAAATAAAGACTTGAGATAAGCCAAGGAATAAGAAAGTTAGAGTATCAATTAGGAGGGACAGACTTGAAGGTGAACATGTATTTTCACACAAGAAATACCTTCTTGTTGTAATATCATGAGGAGGGTCAACATGGAGATGGAGAAGCTGCACATTAGAAACAGCAAAGTGAGAGTCTTCTTCCTTCCGAGGTAAGTGATGGCAGGAAGGAGGAACAGGTAGGCCGGGACCTCCATCAACGCGTTCAAGAAGGTGTGCATGTAGATGTCCGCGCTGAAACACCAACAGTTATTGTGAAATGGCGGAAGGTAGAGGGGTAATGTTAATACTGGTAATAATTCTCAATCCCTGGAAGAAATGATACAGTACTATCAATACTACTCTTGATAGTTAGTGACAAATATTGTACACATATAAACCTAACCTGACATTCTTCACCTAAGTTACTGATGAACTGTTCATGACCCAGCAGCATCCCTCATTAATACATCTGAAACTTCCCAGATGAAGATAAAATTTTGTGTTTTTCAGCTTCTCACACTTTCTGAAAGCTGTGGTGTGCGTCTATATAAGCTTTGGGTAGAGCTCCCTCTTAACTTGGCTTATATATAAATAAGTTAAGAGGTTAAGTTACAAACCCAAAATGGTATTTTCTCCATTTATTGATAAACTGAAAATGTCACAGGCTATTAGTAAAAGCACCGTAATTAACACTGTAAGCTGTGAGTGTTACTTGATGACAGGGCTCAGCTGGGCTGAGTTAAGTCACCCGTCCGATTCTCATGAAAGTCAAGTGTGAACTGAGGTCCTGAGGACTGGTGCCTGTGAAGGGAGGTGTCTCTGGAGGAGACAGTCACAGTCATAGGCTTGTGGGCCGTGGGTTCGAATCCTGGCGGGTTGAGGTGTTGATTGTATGTAGAAGTCCGCGTGCTTTATTGGGCTAATGAAATATATATATATATATATATATATATATATATATATATATATATATATATATATATATATATATATATATATATATATATATATATATATATATACTTCTCGTTAGTGTTATTCTAGTACAGTACTTCTCGCTAGTGTTGTCCTAGTACAGTACTTCTTGCTAGTGTTATTCTAGTACAGTACTTCTCGCTAGTGTTGTCCTAGTACAGTACTTCTCGCTAGTCCTGTTACAGTCCTAATAGAAATACCTCTCGCTAGTGTTGTCCTAGTACAGTACTTGTCGCTAGTGTTATCCTAATACACTACTTCTCGCTAGTGTTGTCCTAATAGAAATACCTCTCGCTAGAGTTGTCCTAGTACAGTACTTCTCGCTAGTGTTGTCCTAGTACGGTACTTCTCGCTAGTGTTATTCTAGTACAGTACTTCTCGCTAGTGTTGTCCTAGTACAGTACTTCTCGCTAGTGTTATTCTAGTACAGTACTTCTCGCTAGTGTTGTCCTAGTACAGTACTTCTCGCTAGTGTTGTCCTAGTACAGTACTTCTCACTAGTGTTGTCCTAGTATAGTACTTCTCGCTAGTGTTGTCCTAGTACAAAACTTCTCGCTAGTGATATTCTAGTACAGTACTTCTCGCTAGTGTTGTCCTAGTACAGTACTTCTCACTAGTGTTGTCCTAGTACAGTACTTCTCGCTAGTGTTATTCTAGTACAGTACTTCTCGCTAGTGTTGTCCTAGTACAGTACTTCTCGCTAGTGTTATTCTAGTACAGTACTTCTCGCTTGTGTTGTCCTAGTACAGTACCTCTCACTAGTGTTGTCCTAGTACAGTACTTCTCGCTAGTGTTGTCCTAGTACAGTACTTCTCGCTAGTGTTATCCTAGTACAGTACTTCTCGCTAGTGTTGTCCTAGTACAGTACTTCTCGCTAGTGTTGTCCTAGTACAGTACTTCTCGCTAGTGTTATTCTAGTACAGTACTTCTCGCTAGTGTTGTCCTAGTACAGTACTTCTCACTAATGTTGTCCTAGTACAGTACTTCTCGCTAGTGTTATTCTAGTACAGTACTTCTCGCTAGTGTTGTCCTAGTACAGTACTTCTCGCTAGTGTTGTCCTAGTACAGTACTTCTCGCTAGTGTTATTCTTAGTACAGCACTTCGCTAGTGTTATTCTAGCACAGTATACTTCTCAGCTAGTGTTGTCCTAGCACAGTACTTCTCACTAGGGGTGTTATTCTAGTACAGTACTTCTCGCTATGTTATCCTAGTACACTACTTCTCGCTAGTGTTGTCCTAGTACAGTACTTCTCACTAGTGTTGTCCTAGTACATTACTTCTCGCTAGTGTGATTCTAGTACAGTACTTCTCGCTAGTGTTGTCCTAGTACATTACTTCTCGCTAGTGTTATTCTAGTACAGTACTTCTCGCTAGTGTTGTCCTAGTACAGTACTTCTCGCTAGTGTTGTCCTAATAGAAATACCTCTCGCTAGTGTTGTCCTAGTACAGTACTTGTCGCTAGTGTTATCCTAGTACAATACTTCTCGCTAGTGTTATTCTAGTACAGTACTTCTCGCTAGTGTTGTCCTAGTACAGTACTTCTCACTAGTGTTGTCCTAGTAGAGTACTTCTCGCTAGTGTTATTCTAGTACAGTACTTCTCGCTAGTGTTGTCCTAGTACAGTACTTCTCGCTAGTGTTGTCCTAGTACAGTACTTCTCGCTAGTGTTATTCTAGTACAGTACGTCTCGCTAGTGTTATTCTAGTACAGTACTTCTCGCTAGTGTTGTCCTAGTACAGTACTTCTCGCTAGTGTTGTCCTAGTACAGTGCTTCTCGCTAGTGTTATCCTAGTACACTGCTTCTTCAGAGTAACAGCCTGGTACAGTACTTCTCCTTCTAGTGTTGTCCCTAGTACAGTACTTCTCTTTAGTGTTGTCCCTAGTACAGTACTTCCTCGCTAGTCATTGTCCTAGTACAGTACTTCTCGCTAGTGTTGTCCTAGTACAGTACTTCTCGCTAGTGTTGTCCTAGTACAGTACTTCTCGCTGAGTATTATTCTAGTACAAAGTACTTCTCCTTTATAGTGTTGTCCTAATTTAGTACTTCTCGCTAGTGTTGTCCTGGTAGTACTTCTCGCTAATGTTGTCCTGGTGCAGTACTTCTCGCTAGTGTTATTCCTAGTACAGTACTTCTCGCTAGTGTTGTCCTAGTACCCAGTACTTCTCGCTAGTGTTGTCCCTGTTACAGTACTTCTCGCTAGTGTTCTTCCTAGTAAATTGCTTCTCGCTAGTATTATCCTAGTACAGTACTTCTCCCTTTAGTATTGTCCTAGTGCAATTACTTCTCGCTAGTGTTGTCCTGGTGCAGTACTTCTCGCTAGTGTTGTCCTAGTACAGTACTTCTCGCTAGTGTTGTCCTGGCTGGTAGCAGCTGGTGTTGTCCTGAGTACAGTGCTTCTCGCTAGTGTTCTCTGGTACACTGCTTCTGCGCTAGTGTTGTCCTGGTACAGTACTTCCTGGCTAGTGTTGTCCTGGTACGAGTACTTCGCTAGTGTTGTCCTGAAGTGCAGTACTTCTCGCTAGTATTTTGTCCTAGTACAGAATTGCTTCTCGCTAAAATGTTGTCTGCAGTACTTCTCGCTAGTGTTCTTCTCAATAAAGTACTTCTCCTTTATTTCTTCTAGGCTACTTTTCGCTAGTGTTGTCCTGGTACAGTACTTCTCGCTAGTGTTGTCCTAGTACAGTACTTCTCGCTAGTGTTGTCCTAGTACCCAGTAATTCTCGCTAGTGTTGTCCTATGCAAGTACTTCTCCTTCAATATTTATTCTAGTGCAGTACTTCCTATAAAGCTAATTATTTGTCCTATTTAAATGCCTTTACTCGCTGGGTATTCTCGGTGCTTCTCGCTAGTGTTGTCCTAGTACCAATTACTTCTCGCTAATTGTTTGTCCTGGTACAGGTACTTCTCGCTAGTGTTATCCTAGTACACTGCACTTCTCGCTGATGTTGTCCTAGTACCCAGTACTTCTCGCTGAGTGTTATCCTGGTACTGCTTCTCTCGCTGAGTATTTTCGTAGTACTTCTCGCTTCAGAGTGTTGTCCTAATTGCAGTGCTTCTCGCTAGTGTTATTTCTAATTGCAGTACTTCTCCTCGCTAGTGGTATCCTAGTACACAGTACATCTCGCTGATGTTGTCCTGTTTTCCTTCTCGCTAGTGTTATTCTGGCGTACAGTACTTCTCGCTAGTGATTATTCTAGTAATTACTTCTCGCTAGTGTTGTCCTAGTACAGTGCTTTCCTTCAAGTGTTGTCCTAGTACAGTACTTCTCGTAGTGTTGTCCTAGTACAGTACTTATCGCTAGTGTTGTCCTAGTGCAATTACTTCTCGCTAGTGTTATACTAGTACAGTGCTTCTCGCTTCTAGTGTTGTCCTAGTGCAGTACTTCTCGCCTGGTGTTCTAGTTCAGTACTTCTCGCTGGTGTGTCCTAGTACAGTGCTTTCACTAGTCATTGTCCTGGTACAGTGCTTCTCACTGATGTTATTCCATTGCGATAACTTCTCGCTTTAGTGTTGTCCTGGTAGTGCTTCTCGCTGGTGTTGTCCTAGTACCAGTACTTCTCGCTAGTGTTATTCTGAGTACGGTACTTCTCGCTAGTATTTGTCTGGTGCAGTACTTCTCAGCTTCTTGTTGTTGTCCTATTTTGCAATTGCTTTCGCTAGTGTTGTCGTAGGAAATACCTCTCGCTAGTGTTGTCCTGGTGCAGTACTTGTCGCTAGTGTTATCCTAATACACCTGTTTCTCGCTAGTGTTGTCCTAATAGAAATACGCACTCTCGCTAGAGTTGTCCTAGTGCAATTACTTCTCGCTAGTGTTGTCACTAATTTTTAGTACTTCTCGCTAGTGTTATTCTAGTACAGTACTTCTCGCTAGTGTTGTCCTGGTACAGTACTTCTCGCTGAGTGTTATTCTAGTGCAGTGCTTCTCGCTAGTGTTGTCCTAATTCACAGTGCTTCTCTTCAGTGTTGTCCTAATTGCAATTACTTCTCCACTAGTCAACTGTCTTTCGTATAGGCCTTCTCGCTAGTGTTGTCCTGGTACAAAGAGCTTCTCGCTTCAAGTGATATTCTAGTGCAGTACTTCTCGCTGAGTGTTGTCCTAGTACAGTACTTCTCACCTGAGTGTTGTCCTGAGTACAGTGTTACTTCTCACTAGTGTTATTTCTGGTACAGTACTTCTCCTAGTGTTGACCCACTAATTTGGGCGCTTCTCGCTAGTCATTATTCCTAGTACAAGTACTTCTCCTTGTGTTGTCCTAGTACAGTACCTCTCCACTG